CCCCCCCCCCCCCCCCCTCTCTCCTTCCTGTCTTCATGCTTCTTTCCTCAAAGACACCCTGCTCCCCGCCTCCCCCTATCCCTTGCTAGACTTTCCTCCTCCTGCTTCTGTTGCCCATTGTGTTCACTCGGTCCGTGTGCAACTTGGCGCAATTGCGACTTCTGTACCTGGGCCCTCAATTTTTTTGCGTATGGCAGCGCTAGGGCTAACTGCGTGGCGCTAGCACAAAAAGTCTCAGGACTCTTGACTCGCCGTACCCACTTGCACCTACTCATCAAGATAGCCGAACCTCTTTCTCATTCTTTTTCCACCTGCAATGTGATCATACTGTCCACTCAAGATGCCAATCCCTGCTACTGACAGAAGTCCCGTGTCTCTGTTTGTTCTAACTCTCTTTTCAAAATTCTTTTCATCCTTCCCTCACGGTATTCTTTGCCATCGGTCCCTCGTGTTTAGCCTTGGATGGGACCTACCAGAGTTACCTACCAATAGAAGTCCCGTTTCTCTTGGAGAGAGAGAGAGAGAGAGAGAGATGATTTTGGTCAGATCTGAGATCCCGTCTTAGATCTGGTCCTGACCAGATCTCAGATCTGTTCTTAGTACTTCTTACACAGTCTAAATTTTCAATTTTCATATGAATATGAATTAGAAAGTCTAACTTCAAAGTTCAAAGTTCTTTTTTTTCTGACTTTCGTACTCTTTTCTGAAGTGACTTGGGATTGGTCTGTTGAGAACTGGTTTCTACTTTCTAGTGTTGTGTGAGCCTTTGTGAATGTCTGCGACAGTATTGACTCTATTGAGCTGTCAAGTTGTGAATAGTCAAAGACAGTAAGCTGTGGTTAGTACTGCTTATTACAAATGTTGTTGTTGTTGTTGTTGTTGTTGTTGTTGTTGTTGTTGTTGTTGTTGTTGTTGTTGTTGTTGTTTTTCCCTTCGGTCCGGACATTTTTGTGTCTGCTGTACCGGTCCGGACGGTCAGGGTCCGGTCATGTCCGGTTGTCCGGTGCCTGTCCGGATCACCGGACGTCTGGACCAGTCCAGACAAATGTCTGGGCCTCGGTCCAGACATGTCCGGGTCCGGGTCCGCGGTTGCCATGCTCTGAAGTGCAGTCATGATAGAAGAAGGCTCATGTATGTCAGGAAGGGTGTCAAGTAGAAGAAGCTATTGCTGAAGGAGCACACTGGGGTGTGTTTAATCAGTTGGTGTTCTCAAGTCCTCGTCCTTACTGTAATGGGTGATATTCTCTGAAGTGCAGTGATGGTAGTAGCAGGCTCATGTATGTCAGGAAGGCTGACAAGAAGAAGTTGTTGCTAAAGGAGATTTCCTGCTGGTTTTGAACAGCTTGATGGAGAGGTTGACCGGACACCTCGGGACAAGGAGAAAATTCATGTTCTTGAAAGCGCTATTGTTACATGGACAAGGCAAATAAAAAACGTGCTGAAGACAGATCCTGAGACAATATTAAAAGAGGTGCGCTTTTTTTTTTTTCTAAAGAGGCAGAGATATGTGTGGTAATGGCTCCTGGCGACTTCATTTTCTGACACAATTGCATTCACCAGTGCTTCACTTCTAGCGCATGTATGTGAATGTGGTGGAAAATGACAATCAAGATGATGATGATGATGATCAGGCATAGGAGAGGAGGAGGGAAGAGGAGGATGGAGACAAGGTGGGAGACCGGAGCAAGGAGTAGAGGAAGGGGGGGAGAGGAGGAAGAAGAGCAGGAGGAGTAGGAACGGGAGCGGGAGGAACGGAACTGGGAAAAGGAGGAGCGAGACCGGAATGAGGAGGAGGAGGAGGTGAAGAGAGGAGCAGAAACCAGGATGATGAGGAGGGTAATATGCACCGCCTTTGTGTACATGTGTGTGTGTGTGTGTGTGTGTGCGTGTGTGTGTGTGTGTGTGTGCGCGCGCGCGCGCGAGAGAGAGAGAGAGAGA